TCACTGGTGTGGATGTGGCATTATGTTTCTCAGTATTTCTATGATAGCGTGTCGAACATGTTTCATCTTCCAGGAGTAGATCAGTGGATTGAGAGATGAATTGAGGAACATCAGTGTGTTAGCATAACGTGCAAACTGCAATAGCATCGTACTTGGTCCCGCGCTTCTTTCGATAATCCAGAAACATGTGGTTGGCAGAAAACAAATCAAAAACACAAGATACACGTAGAATGTACCAACTGCAGCTTTTCTCTCCCTCGCAGCGTTAGTTATATCTCCCTCATTATTCTGTGCTAGCTGTGCTTGCAGGACTTGGATTTGATTGCTGTGGTGACGTACAGCTAAGTAGATCTTGAAATAAAAGAAGGCTGTAGTTAGGTAACAAACGCTCTCAACGGCTACGAAAATAATCGTAGCAACATTTGGAATCCATATGGGCAACAACATCAGAATCGCACTTATGATCCAAATCCAGATCACTACAGCAACAACGCGCTTGTTAGTCACAAGTTCCTGGTATCTGAGATGAAGATAAACAGCTAAGAATCTTTCTGCAGCTAGAGCTACAACACCAAAGAACGTGGCATAAGCAAGGAAAATCCCTGTGGAATAAAAAATGTTCCGAGTAATCTCAAAAGTTAGAGTTTGAGTGTTTTCTTTTATCAGCATTACAAGACCTGTAATGTAAAAAGGTTGAGCCAGTAAACCAACACCAAGATCAGATACCGCCATACTCAGCAGCAATGTTTTTAGAGCTTTTGGTATCGTCAATGGTTTTCTCAGAGCGATTATTGTTACAATGTTTAGTGTGATGGCGGTAAAACTGAAGAAGGCGTTGAAGACACAGTTGGCGATGAGTAGAGATTGCATCATTACTCGAATAATGTTTTACCCAAACCCTACAAGGTCCGTGCACGGTTCGGCCAATTTTCTGTTCCATGTTGACTGAAACAGAAAGATATGAAATTGACATCTTTTTCGATTAATTCGTTTATAATGTTACAAGTGTCTAAATTGCTTTTGCTTTAAAAGCACCTTTTTATTGAAATTTTATAATATGACGGCGCCAAATAATTTTTGCACTTAAAAATAATGGTAAAATCTCAAAAAATTGCCAAAATTCCAGAAGTCCTTGTTTCTTTTCTTGAGTCCATAAATCTTATCTCTCCATAACAGAAATTACTCAATATCTTCTTTTTACTGTTTTATGCTATCTTTTTCCAAAAAAAGATAAACAAAATTTGACTTCCGTTTCATCGTTTTTGTTTTTTCGAAAGAAGAAACACAAAAACGAAAAACGAAATTCGGCTTCCGTTTTATCGTTTTTCCTTTTATGTACAAACAAACACAAAAAAAGGAAAAACGAAAAATGACTTCCGTTTTATCGTTTTTCCTTTTATGTACCAACAAACACAAAAAAAGGAAAAACAAAAAATGACTTCCGTTTTATCGTTTTTCCTTTCATGTACGAGAAAACAAAAAAACGGAAAAACAAAAATCGACTTCCGTTTTATCTTTTTTCGTTTTATGTACAAACAAACACAAAAAAAGGAAAAACGAAAAATGACTTCCGTTTTATCGTTTTTCCTTTTATGTACGAACAAACACAAAAAACGGAAAAACGACAAATGACTTCCTTTTTATCGTTTTTCCTTTTATGTACTAAAACAAACAAAAACATACAAACGGAAACTGACTTTCGTTCTGTCGTTTTTCTTTGTAAGTACGACCAATCAATGTAAAAAAGAGCTGGATATAACCTAATTTTTCGTTTCTATTTTTTTTTCGTTTTCTCTGGCTGTTTAAGTGAACAAAGAGCTGGGACAGAGAGGGGTCGAGGAGGGGTGGGGGGGAGGAGTTTGAGTGAGGGTTGGTGGTTCAATTCGGAAACTCGTCTAGGAGTTGTTGGTCAGCAGTTTTTATAACCCTGGTATGCGTCTTTTTTCGCGGGTCCTTCAAAAATGGCGAGGATGGAAAACGTAGTTACTGCTCGCTACGTGAAGGAGCTTGATATTCCAAGACAACAGCATCCAGCAGTGAATGGACTATCTGAAAGGAGTGTCAGGCGATTTTGTGCCACGAATGGCATACGGCGTTATGTTGATATTCATAATGTGGTTACACCTGCGATTACTGAGGTGATTGTCGCTCCCCTTCATAATATTAGATTCAGGTAGTGTGTAATATCGTAGCATACTGTAAAATTCCGAAAATAAGCCCGGGGGCTTATATTTTTCAAAGGCCCTTTTTGACGGGCTTATTTTTGGAGGGGCTTATATTCGGAGAGGCTTATCTACGGAAGGAAATTTGCGTTTCAATATCGATTGGGCTAGCCTTATAGCGGGTGGTTTGCCAGGAGGCCTGTCGATCTCTCACTGACGGATCAGCCCGTCCTACGGAACCGACCTATCGCGGATTCTGAGCCGGTAAGAGTGGCATTCGTTTCAAGTAACGCATGCGCACCAACATAGTCGGCTGCCCTAAGTGGCAACGAAAAGGGAAGTCAATTATCATTTTACCGTTTTTGATGTTTGGTCGTTAATAAAACGAAACACGTCAAAATGGAAGTCGGCTTACGTTTTCCCGTTTTTTGTGTCTGTTCTTTGAAAAACCAAGAAACGATAAAAGGGAAGTCGATTTTTGTTTTTCCGTTTTTGTGTTTTCTCGTACATAAAAGGAAAAACGATAAAACGGGAGTCATTTGTCGTTTTTCCGTTTTTTGTGTTTGTTCGTACAATTAACGAAAAAAGATAAAACGGAAGTCGATTTTTGTTTTTCCGTTTTTTTGTTTTCTCGTACATAAAAGGAAAAACGATAAAACGGAAGTCATTTTTCGTTTTTTCTTTTTTTGTGTTTGTTTGTACATAAATGGAAAAACGATAAAACGGAAGTCGAATTTCGTTTTTCGTTTTTGTGTTTCTTCTTTCGAAAAAACAAAAAACGATAAAACGGAAGTCAAATTTTGTTTATCTTTTTTTGGAAAAAGATAGCATAAAACAGTAAAAAGAAGATATTGAGTAATTTTTGTTATGGAGAGATAAGATTTACGGATTCAAGAAAAGAAACAAGGACTTCTGGAATTTTGGCATTTTACCATTATTTTTAAGTGCAAAAATTATTTGGCGCCGTCATATTATAAAATTTCAATAAAAAGGTGCTTTTAAAGCAAAAGCAATTTAGACACTTGTAACATTATAAACGAATTAATCGAAAAAGATGTCAATTTCATATCTTTCTGTTTGCTCAACATGGAACAGAAAGTTTAAAAAAAGGGTTGGCCGAACCGTGCACGGACCCTACAACTGTTTGTGTTTTAATTGAACGAAAATAAAAGAGAAGCACTAATGTATTCATTTAATAATGATCACTACATAATTACCTTTTTTATTAATGAGTATTTTCGGTGTTAATGGAAGCTGAGTGAAATACATTTCTTCCAAGAATTAACTTTTTTAAACTGACCCTGTATCACCTGGCTAAACTGCTCCTCAGTGAGGAACAAAAAAACCCTTTCTGACATTAAAGATTTCCATATATCGTGTGTTTTGGCTTTACTTTTACATTAATTTCCAATAAAATAGAATTCCCTTATAAAATTGATAAACCGTGAGGATACTTAGAAGGCGTCCTTTTAACAAAAATGACCTACATATCAAGAATGGTCATTATTGATCCTAATGAAAGCCAAGTCGAATAAATTGCTTCTATGACTCTTATTAAAACCTTTACTCACCTGCCTAAGCTATTTCTCAGTGAGGAGCAACGGTGTGTTGCATTATTTAAGGTAATTACTCTAATCAAACATTGAAACCTTTTCGACAATAATGTTCTTCATTCATCTATAGTCCTTTTCCTTTATTTTCTATTTGTCTTTTAAATAATTAAACTTGAATTCGTTTTAGGAAAAAGGATTTTACTGGGAAAAAACGAGCAATTCCGGATCGGTTCAACTTTTTGTGAGAATCCACTTATCAACATCTGATCGTGCTTTGTTTCACTGACATTTGACAGAGACTTTTGCTGCATATCGTTTTCTGGAGAACCTCAAGTGTAATGGAAGATGAGTAAAAATACCACAGTCAGTTTTGAACAGTTTTGACCTGAAAATGCGGAACTCACCGCGATACTGAGGCGCCTTAATTTCAATCATGAGTGAAAAATGGATAGATGCCCCAAAATATGATTTTCCGTTCGCTTTCAGTTCCCCTTCATGTCGCACTGAATCAGCTCATCGGGTGGGGTTATCTAGGACTGATCTGTTCCTTTCTCATTTTATCTTTTTGAATTTTAAGGGGTAAACGTCTGACTTCGTAAAAAGCCGGTTTAGTTTTGAATATTTTTTATTTAAATTTTCAGATCATTATATTACTTTTAGATGAAGGTAAAGTGCAGACGTATTCACCGAGATCTACTTTGTCCTTTGCGAACCATGTGAGCGAAAAATTCTATTGAGTTAGTAGAAGAAAATTTCTTTGAGTAAAAAGTAAAACGTAAAGAGCAGAAGTCTTTTTAGACGACTAAGTGTTAACAAGAGATGGTTTTTATTGGAGGGAAACTCTTGCTAGCCCATCGCTTGCTAACAAGAACTTCACTCAAGCTGAAAATGGACATAAAACATCAATTAATATTTATCGCTATATGACATTTGTGTCCATAACTTTCTCATGTTGACTAAAATTCATGAAAATCATTTAGTTACAGCTTTTTCGGCGTTTAATTTAACAAACTGAGTAACCTTGCTCTTTTACACTGATCAGCGATAGAAAAATCACAATTGATAATCATTTTGATAATCCGTTTGCGACGGCTTATCAAAAAAATTAGCCAGGCTCGATTACCTGCCGCTATTCGGGAAATGAGCGTAAGCTCTGAGAGCGACGAAAATCGAGCCTAAAAATTCCCTAGATGACAAAATATGTAACTGTAAATGAAGTAGTCATTCAAATCTTCAAATTTGTTAAATACTCTGTATTGCCTAGTTTCTTTACTTTTCCTTTGCAAAAATTTCTTTTTTGTCACTAAATGTAAAATAAATAAATAACGATTTAGAGGTAGTACATCCACTGAGTGGTTCTTCGTCTTCCTCTTTCCTGGTTGGTTGGTTTTTGAGGAGAGGGGAAAACCAGAGTACCCGGAGAAAATCCTCTCGGAGCAAAGGAGAGAACCAACAACAAACTCAACCCACATATGGCGTCGACGCCAGGACTAGAACCCGGGCCACATTGGTGGGAAGCGAGTTCTCTCATCATTGCGACACCCTCGCTCTCCACTAGTGTGCCAATATGTTTCTCAGTATTTCTCTCGGTTTTTCAGTATTTCCATAATAGCTTGTCGAACATGTTTCATTTTCCAGGAGGGTAGATCAGAGGAAATCGAGCCTTGTAATTAACTAGATGACAACATTTGCTATGAAAAGAGGTAAATAAAGGATTTTATATTCGCTGATTTATTATTGAGTTTCTTTCTTTTTTAGTTTTTTCTTGACACTGGTGTGGAGGTGCATGGTAATATGTTTCTTAGTATTTCCATGATAGCTTGTCGAATACGGCTCATCTTCCAGGAATAGATCAAAGGATTGAGAGATGAATAATTATTGAGGAACACCAGGGTGGTAAAATATTGACCAAAGTTCCTTAACACCGTACTTGGCCCAGTACTTATGTGGATAATCCAGTATCATGTGCCTGATAACAAATCAGAAACACATTGATACACGTAGAATGTGCCAACTGCAGCTTTTCCCTCCCTCGCAGCATTAGCCATGTCTCCCATTATTCTGTGCTAGCTGTTCTTCTAAGCCCTGAATTTGATTGCTGTGGTGATGTGCAGCTAAGCAAATCTTTAAATAAATAAGTTGTGAATAAGCTAGTGTT